AAGGTACAATACAAAGTCCTCTTTACTTTTCCCTCCCCTTTTTAAAGCCGGGGTCTCACCCTATAGCCACCACAGCTGGGAATGTGCTGAGTCTCGCCTGAGACCAGCAAGTGTCAGGGTCTCACCCAAGGCCCTCAACTGGTATCCTTTCTAGTTATTCAGAGCCCAAGGACTTTTCAGTTAGGAGGTGATGAATCTTACAATTTGGTCCCTCTCTTCAAGGCAGCCCAGGGCATATCTAGAAATGTCTGGAAGCTAGGGCATCATGGCACTGACCAATGCCCTATCCTGCTGTGGCTGAGCTTGGTATCTAACACGCAAGACAAAGTCTTCCCCACTCTTGCCTCTCCTCTTCTAAAGCAAAAGGAAGGAGTCTCCTTTGGAGCCATGAGCTATGCAGCCTGGGGTTAGGGGAGGAGTTATGCCAGCACTCCTTAGCTGCCCTGGCTGGTGTCTCAGTAGGTTGCATGCCTCCCTAGTCCACTATCTCTGAGCCCAGTTCAACCCTAGGACTTACCTACGTGTTGCAGTACTTGTGGCCTACATTGCCCTTCAAATTTATTTGGGGCCTCAGAGCATGTTAGCCTGTGGTGGCAAGGCTTTTAAGAAATCATGCTCCGACCATTGAGATCAGCTATTCCTCTCTGGCTAGGGCTCATTTAAATGCACCCTCTGTGGGCAGGCACCAGCTGAGTTTGGTTAAGTTTTGGTTTCTGCTATAACAAGACAGCAGTGAGTTCAATACTTCACACTTGCTGGCTCTCCCTCTCCCCAGGGCACAGAAACACTTTCTGCACCACCGCTCTGCTGCCAGCGGGTCAGGGCAGGGTGGTGTCGGCAATGCAAGACTATTTATCCTACCTCTTCAATGCCTCTTTCAGTGATATGAAGTTACAGTCAGGTTCTGTGTCCTGGTGTACTGTGGGGTGGAAGGGACAATCAGTGGAGCCTTCTATTCCACCATCTTGCTCCACCTCCTCCAGACACATCTTACCAGTAGCATTTTTGATGCTATCTACAAATTCAGTCAGCAAGTTTTCCGTTTTCTCATATGATATGGTTTGACTTTGTCCCCACCCAAATCTCATCTTGAATTGTAGCTCCTATAATTCCCTCTTGTTGTGTGAGGGACCCAGTGGGAGATAAGTGAATCATGGGAGCCGTTTCCTCCATACTGTTCTCATAGTAGTTAATAAGTCTCACAACATCTGATGGTTTTATAAGGGGAAACTCCTTTCTCCTGGCTCTCATTCTCTTCTCTTGTCTGCCACCATGTGAGACACACGTTTCTCCTTCCACCATGATTGTGAGGCCTCCCCAGCCATGTGGAACTGTGAGCCCATTAAACCTCTTTCTTTTGTAAATTGCCCAGTTTTGGATATGTCTTTATCAGCAGCATGAAAACAGACTAATACATCATCTAAACCCTTAGGAAATATATTGAATTGGGCACAGCCCTGTAGCAGTCCACAAGACTTCCATACACTAGTTGTGCATCCTTTGCATAACTAATTACAAATCCATTTAACAGTCCACCTGACCACAATCTCCTCTACAAAACCATCATTGGGAGGCTTTCATAAGCAGTTGCTGATATTCCAATGATAATAACAATAACTAATGTTTATTGAGTTTTCTGTGTGTCAGGCATTGTTCTAAGTGCTTTATATTGTAGCATCTACATATAATCCTCACAAAAACAATATGAGGTGGGTACTGTCGTTATCCTCATTTTACAATACAGACATATAGTAGAGTTCAGTACTTTGCCTAAGGTCACACTACTAGTAAAGGGTAAAGAGAGGATTCGGTCCTTGGACATCTAGTTGCAGAACCTGTGCTCTTCCCACAATCCTCATGTTGAACACCAGGTCTGACATTTTTATGATGCTCAGTCTAGGAATTCTAGGAAAATAAATGAGGTCAGTCTTCCATGACTTACCTTAAGGGGCCCATACTCCAAGTGATTACCACTTCCTTTTAGAAGGGTTCAGACACAATTATTTTAATGAGTCATTTAATAATTCTAGAGTTTTGTCCAAGATCAATGCATAGATTGCAGAAATCTTAACCCTTACACTTAAAAAAAATATAAAAGTCATATTTGCAGTTGCCAGGCTCCAGGTATTGGCACCTCTCCCACTGCAGCAGCTCCCCAAAGCTGCTGTTGAAAGGTGCAACAAGCTTAAACTCATCTACCTGAGCCATCCAACAGGCTCAGATATCCAAGTTAACTCTTAAAATCTTTTACAAATCTTGGACTTTAAGTTTCTATTATGAATTCTTCTTTCTAAACTAAAGATCATTCTTCCTGTCAGATTTAAAAGACACAAAGCATAAGTTTATCAGCTTCCTTTTCTCTTTGTTATACTTCTGTTTATTTAAAACCTCAACCTTTTTCCAAAAATAAATTAAGGCAGCTCTGTCATCTCTTGTCATCACACTATTCATCCAAATAACAGAGTTATCTTTCTTTTTATTCCCCCTCTCTTTGCTCCAAAACTAACACCAAAAACACTTGTTTTTGTTCTTAACATTATTCATAGGACTAAACCCATTCTGGATCTCGGCTTTCTTGGTACAATTTTATAGCAACATGCCACCTTTATATTTTTATATGGATATGCATTTCTATGGATATTTTTAAAACTCTAAATGCAATAGATTACTCATACATGTTCTGTGAGAATTTGGGGGATTTAGGGCATCCCCATACCTGTTAAACTTCCTTCAATTTATAATATCAGGTCATGAGATCATATCAATATTTTTATTAGACTTTTACTGACATTTTCTAAAATGTTCAACCATCCTATTATTGGCTTTGTGTCAGTTATTTATTCACAGAATCACTATTATTTCTATCTAACTTTCTTTTGTTCATCATGACAAAAATACTAACTACCTTCATTATACTAATGAGCTTCTAAGAGTAGAAATGGCCAATCAGGTAAGGATTGATCAAATTCTCACTTTTTCTGCTGAACAAAACCTTCCAGCATGTATCTGAGCAATTAAAGTCCTGCACTGTTCCTTTATCACACCTCTGTGCTACTTCTGTTTAATCATGTCAGAAAAGGTCTTCTTGTCTGCTTAATCCTCAACCTGGCCAGGCTTGCTGGAGTACGTTGTTCCTCATTCTGCTAGCATTTTGAGCAGAAATGCTAGAAACTACCCTTATGGACTCAAATGTCCACATACAGTGTAAAGTTCATGAATAACAACTAATCTTGAGATGTTAACACAAATAAATAAACATATGATTCTTAGTGAAGACTTGGTGGGAATAGTTCGGTGCTATTTTTATGGCATTTCTTAAAGGTACCACAATATCCCACAACAATAAGGCATAATATTTTATTAGACATTCTCTTCTCCTCCCCTTGAAATATTTCTCATTTCAATTTAGAGTCTTGTAATCCATTCACCAAGTCACTCTGATCAAAACATTCTTCCTAGAATGCTTCTTAGAAACATCCAAATGCATGCTTTGTAAAGGGCATGACTGATGGGGTCAGTCACCAACCACAGGATAAGACCCTTGTCCCTGAAAGCAGTAGGTATTTCCTCTGGTCAACTATTACTTGTGGATCTTCCTTATTACCTGTTATTCGTGGAAGACCAATAGGCTAGTGTCATACAGGATAAACCTGAGAAAACAGGGCTTAAGAAATGAAGAATAACCACTGCATTAATTCAGACATAAGGTCACCAGGACCCAGACTAGGATGGGGTAACTAGAAAAGAGAAGAAAAATATAGAAGCAATAACATTTGGGAAATTCCAAGCCTTGGAGATTGATTTATATGTAAACAGCAAGAGAAGAGGAAGGCCACAGACAAATCCCAGGTTTCAGAATTGGGAGTCTCCAGCAAAAATTGAAGAACGAGTAATTGCCAGTTGACCTCAGTGAACCGTAGTAGGAACATAATCATTGGTGGGGAGGGGAGGCGCAGAAGTAGAAGAACTGACCAGAAAGGCTGTTTACCCAAGAAGGGGCATCCATCTGAATCAGTTTGGGAGAGGATTTCTGTTGATAATCAAGATGACATGCTGTGGTTCAAGGAAAAGGGCCTTTTTTTAAATGCTAATAATATATCTATTTTTAAATAAATTTATTTAAGTAAAAAAGTGACTCACATTAATGAAAAGAATTAATACAACAATCCTCCCTTATCTGTGAGGCATATGTTCCAAATCCCAGTGGATGCTTGAAACCTTGGATAGTACTGAACCCTATATATACTATGCTCTTTCCCATACATACGTATTGAAGATAAAATTTAATTTATAAATTAAGCACAGTATAAGATTAACAACAATAACTAATAATACAATAGAACAATTATAACATACTTTAATAAAAGTTATGTGAATATGGTCTCTCTCTCTCTCTCTCTAAATATCTTACTGTCCTATGTATATTCACCTATCTCCACACTGCAGTTGACCACAGCTAACTAAAACCTCGGAAAGTAAAGCCATGGATAAGAGGAAACTTAAACCCTACTGTAAAGGCAGGGTGATGTGCAAATATGATAAAAAAATTATGTAAACAATAGATAAAATGAATCTTGTAAACATTCTCACAGTAGAGAAAGACCCAGGGGTTAGTATGAACCTAAATGAGGTAAAACGTTATAAAAGCTATGAAGTTCACCAAGTTCTATTTCCTGCACTATAATTCCTGACTTCCTCGAGATGGTAACTAGAAGATTCTTGGCCAATTTCTAAAAGACCTAAAAATTCCTTCCCTCCTTGAAAATCTGTTTTCTTTCCTCAGAGTTGCAATTAGGGTTGACACTAGAAATCCTCAAAAACACATGTTCTCTTTTCCTAAATGGGCAACTTGCACTTCTGAGGTCCCCTTTTCAGAGTGAACACACCATCACCCCCACCCCCAGCCCCATACCTTGGTCCTTGCCTGGGCCAATTCTTCACACCTGCACATCCTCAATTCTCATAACTCTTAGGTGTTTCCAACATAAATAGTTTCTTACCGTTAAAGACACCCGCTTGGCTTCTTTTGAATCACTTGTGGGCTGTCCATCTTCCAAAGGTTTACTTAATTCCTCTGCTGGCTGAACTTGCAAAATTTCCTGAGGTTTAAATACTGTGCTTTCTACTTCTGAGGTTCCCCATTCTATATCCTCTTGTTCAATCTGGAGAATACTTGACATGGCTTCAGGAAGTTCCTTATGCATATTCTGTTGGAAAAAGTAAATGTGCGAGAATGCTTTTTTTTTTAATTGGTCCTTCTAGGCTTTTCAGTGATGCAACAGATTCTATCTGACAACAAGATGAATATGAAAATGCACGCTTGAAACTAAGCACAGGTGATAAGTTTCCTCTGAAGATTTAGAAAGAGAAGCTCAAATTGACTTAAGAAAAATGTGAACGCTGGCAAATTATTTTCCTCAGCCCTTGTCTCAAAACTACAGCTACCCCACAGTTGTTATGGGTAAAAGATGGCATACAATACCAAATACTATGAAATTTTCTTTATTATGCAAGAACGTATAGCTAGACCAAGAAATTTAATTTTGTAAAATAGAACTTTAATCTTGAGCTCATGTTGGTTTTTTTTTTTTTTTTTTTTTCCATATCACAAGTCATCAAGCAGGAGCTCATGTTTTTATAAAGCTACTGGATGGTGTTATGGAAAGATTAAGAACATGTTTTTAACCAAATGGGACTGAATTCAAATCCGGGATCTGTTAATTAATAGATGTTTGACCTTAGCCAAGTTACTTAAACTTTTTTAGCTTCATTTTTGTCACTGGTCATCAGGATAGGCTATGCCCAACTACTCCCCCACCAAAAAAAATAGTGGTTCAACACACTGGGACAGTGTGTTGACTACAAATCAAAGTGGCTCTTTAGGGCAGGCATACTTCTTATGGTAGCTCAGCCATCTAGGCTGCTTCCAGGTTGTAGTTCCTTCACACCAAAACACAGCTTTTATGGTCACCACAGAGCAGTGACCATATCACTTTCCTTCGCACCCCATTGGCCACAAACAGCTACATGACCCCATCTAACTGCAAGAGGATGGGGGACATTTGAATATTTAGCAGGGAGCCATTCAGCCACTCCATTGGCTTGACTCACATCTTTACAAGGGATATATCTTTTTTTGTATTTAGTTTTTGTGTGTGTCCTCTGCAAGCTGAGGAAGAATGAAGCCAATAGTGACTCAGTCCAAGTCCAAAATCTTCAAAGGCAGGGAAGCTGACAAGGCAGCCTTCAGTCTGTGGTCAAAGGCCCAAAAGCCCCCGGCAAACCACTAGAGTAAGTCCAAGAGTCCAAAGGCCAAAGAAGATGGAGTCTGATGTCTGAGGGCAGGAGGGATGGATGGAAGCGTCCATGACCAGGTACCAAGTCGAAAAGTATTTTACCTCTAGAGAAGTGGGTCAGCTTCCTTATAAAAAGCCAGAGGCCAGAAGAGGTCCAGTGATTGCCTGTAAATGTCAATGCTTAGGGAATGGTTCCAGCAGAATTACAAATAAATTAATATTTTTGTTTAACTCTTTATTTTAAATAATCAAGATGGTATCTAAGCTAGATACCTGATTGTTGGCCTTTTTCACAGTTTCCTTCAAAATGGTATCTTTCCTTATACTTTACATGAATGTAGTGAATGGTATTAAGTTTATTCTATTAATGAAGATTTCTATTTTGCTAAACCTCACTGATATTGTATTTTCAGTTTACTATACCTGTTAGAGGCGTCAAGGTCAGAAGGTTTGATATCTGTTTGTAAACAGTGTCAACTAGAGGCAGCTACCCTAGATGTCAGTCTTAAGTCCACAGCATATATGGTAAGGCTTCCTAATTGATATATCCACATACTATTACAAAGGGCTACTGGTACCATCTCATGCTGGGTTATGAGGCTAGTAATAAGAATACAAAGGAGAAAAAGATATGGCCTGAAAGCATCTCAAACTCTAGGAGTTCAACCATTTGGGGTAACTCTAATATTACAGGATTCATAGCTTTTGTGAAAAGAAAAAATTCCATGCACTTTCTGAACATGATATGCTAACCTAAAAATGAAATATGATCACAATTTTATGTATGCGGGGGTCATATTTTCAGGAACCAAAGGAGCTTGTAATTTAATGAACCAAAGGAGCTTGTAATTTAATGGTAACATTTTATGAATTCTTTGTAGAGGAACTGACCATCAGGTTATCACTTTTCTATGTAAATGTGAGTTTCTATACACTGGGAGACACTTCCCATTCACAAGGAATATGTTCCAGATTGCTTTGAATCCAATGGTTATTTTACCAATGATGGATAAAAAGAAATATTTATTTCCACAACAAATATCTGTCACCAACTGTCCACATTTCTCAACCAAATTCTTCCCTCGCAATGCTTTTAACAATTCTTCTAGCTGAATACAGACAAAAGTAATGCTTTCTTAGAAGCTAACAATTTTTAATTAATTATCCAACTACCTTCTAGATCTAAATGTCTCTAAATCAGAATTGTTAAAATCTTCCCCTTCTAAAAAGAGTTTGGGGCCTTAGCTCAGAAGGTCCATGGTAGCCAGCAACAGTGAGCCAAAATGGCCCAAGACTCCCAGTGTGGTATCGAGTTAGATGTTCTCACAGGTAAACACACTTCTAAAATACATCAGAGAAATTTTTTTAACTCTCTATATAAACATTCAAGCAACAGAAAGCATGCTGTTACTTTAACAGAGGCAAGGAGGATTTTTATTAAAGCTTTACCGTTTGTGATTCCTCAGCACCCATCTGGAATCTATGCTCTGCTTGTATCTCAGGTGTTTCTGCTTGCATACTTGATGTTTTGCGGTACATTTTTCCCATTAAAGAAATATCCTTGAATAAGAAAAGGAAGCAAAGTGATGCAAATTTTTTAAATCATTGAGGCACATTATTCATTATACTAAAATGCTAGTCAATTCGGCTAGTAAATGAGAAATAGAGAAATATAAAGTAGTCAATAACACATGGTAAATAAATAAAAACAATAAAGGCAGGGTGTGGTGGCTCATGCCTGTAATCCCAGCACTTTGGGAGGCCGAGGTGGGTGGATCACCTGAGGTCAGGAATTGGAGACAAGCCTGACCAACATAGTAAAACCCCCATCTCTACTAAAAATACAAAATTAGCCAGGCATGGTGGCGCATGTCTGTAATCCCAGCTACTTGGGAAGCTGAGGCAGGAGAATCACTTGAACCCAGCAGGAAGAGGTTGCAGTGAGCTGAGATCATGCCATTGCACTACAGCCTAGACAACAAGAGGGAAACTGTTTAAAAAATAAATAAATAAATAAATATAAAATATTTTTATCTATGTTTTCAATTTCATGGCTTTTTGCTGGTCTCTATAAATATATTTTTAGATTTAACAAGATAGGTAATATTAAGTCAGATGCTATAAAATAATGCTATTAAGTCAGATTCTATAAAACATTGCACAAGAAAGATAAAATCAAAACTAAAATTTAATGCATCCAAGGGCAAGAAGGAATATGCTTAAAACCTCACCGGATGGACTGTTAGTATCATTTTTACCACAGCTAGTGATAACTGCAATGATATACTCTCTACTCAGTTGAAATGGCAAGAAGATAGTACACTCCAATTACTAACAATGATCTAGGTATAAAGAGACCCAGGTTCTGTCCATCCAAACTGTAAAGCCACAAATCAGGCATCAACAGGCACATTATTTTGCTTTCCTTCCCCTCAGTCTTAATACTTTTTAAATAGGCATTCAATAACATGACTTTTTTTTGAAACAGACTTGCTCTGTCACCCATGCTGGAATGTAGTGGTGCAATCATAGCTCCCTGTAACCTCAAACTCCTGGGCTCAAGCGTTCCTCTCACCTCAGCCTCCTGAGTGGCATGGACTACAAGTGCATGCCACAACACTCAACTAATGTTTTTGCTTTTTTGTAGAGATGGGGTATCTCTACATTGCCCAGGCTGATCTTGACCTCACGGTCTTAAGGAATCCTTCCTCCTTGGCCTCCCAAAGTGCTGGGATTACACAGCCATGAGACACTGTGCCTGGCCTACATGAATTTTTAAGGTTCCTTTTTCTTCTAGCCTTTTAGTAATGTCAACAGCAAGATTCAAACTCCCATTGTACCTTAAAACTCTTATTTTTCTACTTTTTATTTGCTTTATTAAAAGGATCTAATTCAGGCCATTGGCTTCTACTTCTGTCCTCTGGTTATAAATAACTATAAAACTGGACAAAATATTACAGCAACTATTTTAGGATTTGACAACAGGCAGTGCAGAACTGTGATGACAGAGAATGGAAACTAGGTAAGAGTTACAATTACCTGATTTCTGCCTGACACAATTTCCAGAACATGGCACAAAAAGGCAGAAACCAAACAGAGCCCAAGTATCTTACTAAATTGAAGAGACAGAAATCAGATGAGAGGAGGACAAAGGGGCTAGAGTTTGTAAGGAACAGTGTGGAGATGAGAGCACTGCACAGACAAAGAGCTCCAGAAATCGGCATAGGGTCCTTGAGTCTTTGGCTGAAAGTCTGCCCATGCAATGGGGAAACCCATGAGGCTAGACAAAGAAACCTTGCCAGGGAAGAAAACAATTACCAAGGAGCTGTAAGCCACAATTCCCAGAGCTCACACAAGGTTGGAATTCATTAGGTCTCCCACCAGACATGGAAGATACATGGTACATTAATTATAAAGGCCAAAAGGATCATCCATTAGTAGTAATGCTAAATTAACCCTTGAGTAAAGACTTTTGTGGACGTTAACAATGCTTTAAAATAATTCTTTTAAAAAATCAAGCTGCTCTTCAAGTAACTTAACTGCCTATCATAACAAACTCTAACACTCTTTAAAGGAAGTCAATAAAACCCAATGCAAAATTCATAATGTCCAACATCCAATCAGAAGTTGCTGGTCACATGAAGAAGCACAAATATGTGATACATAACCAGGAAGAAAATCATACAAAAAGACCCAGAAATGACATACATTTTGGAATTAGCAAATAAGGATCTTAAACTTCTAATATAAATATTATAAGTGTTCAACATTAAATAAAAATGTAAGCATAAAGAGGAGCAAACTTAAGAAACAGAATTAAATGTGACATCTATAGATAGAACATACATCATCTAAAATAAAATTCTCACTGAGTGGCATTAACAGAAGAGAAAGACATTGCAGAAGAAAATGTCAGTTAACCTGAAGCCTTATCAACAGTAACCATGCCAAATGAACCACAGAGCAAAAGAAAACTAAAATAAAATGAACAAATACTCAGTCAAACATATATTTAATTGGAGCTCCAGAAAGGGATATGGAGAGTGACTGAAAACATTGACACGCAAATGGCCAAAAATTTTCCAAATATCATGACAACTACAAACCCCCTAAGTTCAATGACCTCTGAGCAGAAACACACAAAGAACACTGCCCAAAGTTCACTGTCATCAGAATAATAAAAACCAGTAATTCTAAAAAATATCTTTATTTGTAAATGAATATGATTACACATATACAGAAAATCATAAAGAATACAAAAAAACTTACTAGAGCTAATAAACTAATTCACTAAAGTTGTAGGGTACAGGGAAATTATATAAAAATAAGTTTTATTTCCAAACAATGAACAATCTACAAACAAAATTAAGAAAACAATTCCATTTAAAATGCCATAAACGAGAATAAAATACTTAGAAATAAATTCAACCAAAAAAGCACAAGACTTGTATAAAATATTCCTGAAAGAAACTAAAGAAGTCCTAAATGAAAGGAAAGGCATCCCATGTCCATGGATTGAAAGACTTAATATTGTTAAGATGGGAAGACTCCCCAAAGCTATCTACAGATTCTTTGCAATCCCTATCAAAAACCCAAGGGCCTTTTTTTCAAAACTAGAAAAACTGATCCTAAAAGTCAATAGAATCGAAAGTTCCCCTGAATAGGCAAAACAATCTTGAAAAGGAAAAATAAAACTGGAGGACTCACACTTACCTATTTCAAAATTTACTATCAAACTACAACAATCAAAACGTGTGATACTAACATACGGATAGACATCTAGATCAATGGAATAAATGTGAGAGTCCAAAAATAAACTCATCCAACCCATGGTCAATCAACTTTTGACAAAGGTGCCAAAAACAGTCAATGGGAAACAAATACACTCTTCAAATGGTGCTGGGGCAACTGGATATCAACATGCAAAAAAAATAAAGTTGGCCCCCTATCTCATATGATATATAAAAATTAACTCAAAATGGGTCAAATACCTGAATGTAAGACCTATAAACTGTAAGATTCTTAGAAGAAAACATATTAATAAATCTTCATGACCTTGGATTTGGCAATAGCTTCCTAGATATAACAACAAAAACATAAGCAACCAAAGAAAAAATAGACAAATTGAATTTTACCAAATTTAAAACTTCTGTGCATCGAGGACACTATGAAGAAAGTAAAAATGTAACCCATTGAATGGGAGAAAATATTTGTAAATCATTTGCCTGACAAGGGTCTAATATTAGGAATATATAAGAAAGTCTTAGAAGTCAACAAAAAGACCAAAAAAATTAAAAATGGGCAATGGACTCCTGGCTTTGAAGTTAATAATACTCTTTGGCAATAACACAAGCAGTTTTTAAAGCAGAAAAAAACAACAGAAAGAAGCTTCAAAGGAAATACCCTGATTATTCAGCTTAAGAATTTCACTCCCTCCCTCTTCCTACTAGTCATAAGTGTCCTGGCCACCACTATCTGACCATGATCCTCTAACTAATCATTCTTTAGTGTCAACAACTTTGGCATTTCTCAATTAAGCATTTCCCAAACAAGAAAAGCAAGTTTTTTAGTCTCAGAGTCACTGTCATTAATATCACCATGCAACAGAAAATTGTCTAGTATTCTTTCCTTTGAAAGAGTTTTGACACTAACATACAAGAAGAATATTCTGGAAGTCATAGCACTAATTCTCTGTTGTGAATTACAAAACTCTGTGAATTATTTGGCGAAAGTGAAGATATAATCACAGGAGATAGACAACAAATTTTCATTTCTATATAGTCAAAAAATGGGCAAAGTATTTTTGACATTTCTCCAAAGAAGATATACAAAAGCCAACAAGCACATGAAAAGATGACCAACACAAATAATCAGGGAAATGCAAATCAAAATCACAATGAGATACCACTTTATACTCACTAGGATGGCTACAATAAAAAAAAGAAAAAGAAAATAAGACTTTACTGGGATGCAGAGAAACTAGAATCCTTGTACGCTGCTACCAGGAATGTAAAATGGTGCAGCCACTGGAAAGGTTTGGAGGTTCCTCAAAAACTTGCATACTATTACCAATTGACCCAGCAATTTCCCTTTTAGGAATATGCCCAAAAAAACTGAAGGTAGGTATTTCAATAGATATTTGTACATCGATGCAGCACTATTCACAATAGCCAAAAGGTGGAAACAAGCCAAATGTCCACTCACGGATGAATGAATAAACAAAATTTGGTATATCCATACAATAGAATACCATTCAACCAACAAAAGTAATGAAGTACTGATGTATGCCACGATGCTGGATGAATCGTGAAAACATTATGATAATTGAAAGAAGCCAGACACCACAGGTCATAAATTGTATGATTCCATTTATATGAAACATCCAGAATAGGTAAATCTATAGAGAACAAAGCCAAATTGTTGTTGCCAGGGCCTGAGGGGTATGGAGAATGGCGAATGACTGTTTAATGTGTATAGTGTATCCTTTTGGAAGGATGAAATGGTTTTGAAACTAAATGAAGGTGATGGCTGCTCAACATTGGAAATGTTGATGCCACCGA